GGGACTGGCCCTGAGCGGGTCTGCCTCGGGCCGGCCTGCAGTCTGTGGGTTCTTGACTCCATGCAGGAAAGATTTCACAGCATGAGCCTAGGAGATTTTGAGAGTATGTTTACTAAAGCTGGGGACGGTGAGACAAGGAAGGGCTTAGGGTAGAAGAAGCCACAGGAGAAAGCCTGGGCGGTGCTGTGCTTCGGCTCTGACTCAGTGAGAAAGAAAAGTCACGGTGAGAGAAGTGAGCCACTAGGGGCTGCTGTCAGCTCACTGAAAAGTCAGAGGCAAAGGGGCCTTGGAGACAGGTTCCGGGGGTCAGGCAGGGACACGGCACCACTGCCTGCCGCTCCCCTGGTTGCAAGTCTCGTGAAGTCCCTCAGAGGTGAGGAGAGAGCAAAAATACACACCCCAGAAGAGGAGGGGCGCAGGCGTGCTCCCAGGAGAGCGTGCTGGGTCCTTTGTGTTGAGGGTTCTTATCTGTGTTCTAAAGGTGGGCGTCCTAGGGGAGGGTCTCAGCAGAACATTCATCAGCAGGTATGTCCTGTAACATGTTGGTGCACCAAAATGAGAACGCAGAGGGACCAGGGTCATTTTCCGGTCAGCTGTACCTCCACCTTGAATTTGTTCGGTTCTGATTGGGTCTTTTGCTGTTTACTCCCCTGACTTCTCGTGTCCTTGGGTGTGGCTGGCACAGATGGCGCCAGCTGGGTCTCTGTTATCTATCTCCCAGACCAGGGTGATTTAAATTATTTACTCTCTGGTCGGGGAGGAGAGGTGTAAACCGTTTGCTCTCAAGTGTCCTTGGTTGGGGAAGATGAGATTTTACGATTTACTAGCTGGCTGTAAATGGTTCCAGTTGTTTGGCCCCATTTGTCTAATGACCTGCCTCAGTTTCCCTTTTGCCACCTGTCAAAAGTTCTCCTAACGTCTAACTATCTTGCTTCCCTTTGGCATCTGGGTCTACTCTAAGCTTTTCTCTCTTACTGTTCTTTAATCTCAGAACTCACCAGGCCAGACGGAGGTGGAGATGGGGATCCTTTGTAACCAGGGGCCAGTAGGTCTGCGCCCCTTCCCCAGAATCTATGGTGGAGGGGAGGCCAGGGTGCAGGGGTCGGGGGGGAGGGGGAGGATGAGAGGGACGGAGAAGGCTGTGTAAGGCCCTCCCCCTCCTCAGACCTCTGGGGCCAGATGGACAGAGCCAAGGCACCTCTGGGATTCGCAAAGAACAGAGGGCCCAGCCGGTGTCTCCGGACCAACTTGCAAAGCCCGCCTGTAGTTGGGTGGGCCTCCCCTCACCTGGCCCCCATCCACGTCCTGCCCTCCAGCAGTTCGGTGCCAGGAAGGAATCTTCCTCTGCAGGGTCTGACTGCATCATAGCCCTCTCTTACTGCAGGGTGCCGGGGCAGGGCTTGGGTTTTAAACACATCCACCAGGTAGGGTTTGGGGCAGGATATACGAGTGATTGCTTCTGTTCACAGAGGACATCGTGAGTGTCTTAAAAAAATAAAAACAATTTTTTAAAGTGGAAAAAGGGGACTTTGGTTATAGGAAACTGGGGCTCTTCCTAGAAGAGGTTTCAGAGTAGCTGCCTGGCCAATATGGGTTCCATCTAATCCTCCTCGCTCATTCCAGAAGTGCCCTCCAGAGCTGGCTCTGTCGGTCTCCCTGCCCTCTCCTGGGGGTCAGGATTCATAGTCGGGGACAGTCTCTGCGTCTCGGGCCACCACCCGGGGACAGGACATCTGAGTGCTCAGGTGGGTGCTCAGTGAGGCCCTCTGCAGCCCTGGCATCTTCCTCTGCTGCAGCTCTGTGGCCAGACGGTGTCTCCCCAGAACCCGGACAGGGGTGTGGGTTCTGTGGGACCTGCCTCCTGCAGCAGCGGGAGCCAGCGCGGGTGCTCTCAGGACCCTCGACTGAGCGCCTCCAGAAAAGCCGCTCGGGCCCAATTGCCCCCGGGAGTTCTCCACGAGCATTGCTCTCTTGCCTTTGGAAGGGTTATTTCAGGGACTGGTACTTGCATTAAAGAACAGTCATAAGTCTTTTTAAGCCAAAAGACAATAAAGATTTTACAGGGCACCTTTCTTAAGATAGGAAATGGCTGAATTGCTTTCCTTTGGTAATTGGAACCGGAATTCAATGTTCTGTCTACTTCCTTTCGGCTTCATTGCTCTTTAAAAATTATTTGCCAGTTGTATAGGGCCTATGAGAATTAGTCCTCCTCGGCTTCCCTCTGGCCCCTCCTGAGCTCCCTGCCCACCCCCCCACCCTCGTGTAGACTGTTCCTCTGGTCAGGACCCCACACAGCGCAGGGGACGGCCTCCGGTGGTGGAGCCCCTGAGGAAAACGGTGGGGTCTCCTTCAGACCAGACAGCACGGCGACCCAATTTGGTCTATTAAAATTTAAAGACAGATTTGTGGTAAAATATATATAACGTTGTATTTACTCCCTTAACTATTTCTAAGTGTACAGTTCAGTGACCTTAAGGACGGTCCCACTGCTGTGCAACCATCCCCATCATCCACCTCTAGAACTTTGTCACCGCCCCACACAGATGCTCTACCCCCACGAGGCAAGAATCCCCCTGCCCACTCCCATCGGCCCGCCCGCCCCCGCTTCCCTGCCCGCCTCCAGCCCCTGGCAGCCACCCCTCTGCTTTCGGTCTCTGTGAATCTGACTCCTCCAGGGGCCTCAGATGTGTGAGTGGAACCACACGGTGTCCGTCCTTTCCTGCCTGGCGTAATTGACTTAGCGTGCTGTCCTCGGGTTTCATCCGTGTAGGACGCGTCAGACTTTCCTTCCTCTGTAAGGCGGAATAATCGCCCCTTGTGTGGAGGGGACCGTTTTCTGTTTTGCTTTGTTCGCTAGTAGCCATCTCGATGGGTGGTCCAATTTGGCCCGTGTGTGATTCCTTCTGGGCATTTGCATTGTGTCCTTTTCTACTGATTCCAACTTTTTGTGGCTTTTTTCCTGTGGAAGAAAAAAAAATAAAACTTCCTTCTGACTTCCTGTCACTTCAAGTTATCATCCTAAATCATATACTTGGAGGCAAAGTATATAGAAAGAGCATGTGATTCGGAATCAGACAGGCCTCAGACCCCCTTCCTCTGTCCCTCCCCCCTCCCTCCCTCCCTCCCTCCCTCCTTCCTTCTGTCCCATCTACCCATCCATCCAAGCGTCCATGCATCATTCATCATTCTCAAGCATTGTGTTGGCTTATTATTCAGTAATGAGCAAAACATGTTTTGGCAATCTGTGACCCCGGGAGTTCTGGGGAAAATCAAAACCTTCTGAACTGTAATTTCATTATTTATCGAATGAAAGTGGTACCGAGCTTCTGGGCTTGTAGTGTTCATGCCTCCCTCCCTCGTTTCATCCTCACTTCCTCTCCTGCCCGCTCTGAGCGCTGGCTTTGTCCCATCCGTCGCGGCGAGCTTCCAGAACTCGGCGTGCCCTGCGACATTAGCCCTTTCCGGGGCCCCTGCAGTTGGCTCGTGCAGTTGGCAAGAACAGGCCACCGGACGAACACGTCTGGGGCTCTCTGGCCCTCGGGTGCTCCAGTCCAGGGAACAGACGGTCCATGGTCGTGGGGCTCAGTTCCCCAGGGACTGTCCATGGTCCCTGTTCTCCAGAGACGGGTGTGTGCCGTGACTGTAACCCAGGGTGACCCTAAACGCCTAGCGCTCTGTTTACCACCACAAACGTCCCGGGACCAGCTATGCTCTGGGAGGCAGAGCAAGCCTGGCTCCAGGCCCCTGCTCGCCCCAGGTGCAGCGCACCTACAGCCGCGGTCAGCGCCGCCTGGTCTTCCTTTTACACCTCCCGCCTCCTCCGAAGCGAGGTGCAGTGGGGCCCTCGGGGAGGGCACCTCGGGGACCAGTGCACTCAGGAGATTGGGCACTCAGCCCCAGGCAGGCATTTTTGGAATGTCCATTTCTCTGAGCCTCAGTTTCCTTAGCTATAAAAGGGAAGTTATGTTATTGGTTATGTTATTGGTTTGGTTGATTCACATGATTTCGGTGGGGAACTGAAGAAATCAGTGTGGATGAAAACTCTTAGGAGTAACAAGGTGCTATGCAATGTACAAACGATAACGAACACTTTTATCACACTTACTACGTGTGCCAGGCGCTGTTCTCAGCTGTTGACATACAGTAACTCACCCCACTTAATGCTCACAACCACCCCGTGAGAGAGGTCCTGCTGCTCTCTCCATTTTACTGGTAAGCAAACTGAGGCACAGAGAGGTTAAGGAACTCGTGGAGGGTCACACAGCCAGCAGTGGCACAGCCAGGGATTGAACCAGGCAGTGAGGTGCCAGAGTCGATGCTGTCAACTGCTGCCTTCCTGCTCCCTGCTTCCGCGGGATGTCAGCATTTTGCATAGTTCCCGTTCCCGTTGCAGAGCTGGGAGGGGAGTGCAGCCCCTGGTTTGGGGACACATCACGCAGGGTGTCCTGTCATCTGCTCAGTGAGATGAACTGATGGCATAAATCATGTCACAGCCAGCTGGCCATGGTCCCCCAGCGTGCAGGGGCACCCATAGCTCTGATAACGAAAACTCACAGACTGCTGCTCACTGAGCAGCCAGAATAAGCGACCGGGCCGCATCTCCAGGAGATGCTGCTGTTCGGTTCCAGGCCGTTGGCTCTCTGGGCTGACTCCGGGATGGAAATGCTGACGCGCCCGCAAGGCCAACGGGCGAGAGGCTGCAGGGTCAGAGGAGCTGCGGAGGTTGCGGCTCCCGTGTGCAAGCTGGTGTGTTGGCACGGCTCACGGCCATGCCAGCTGCTCTGCCGAACAGGGGCGCTGGGGTGCTGTCCTGTTTCTAACATAGACAAGCAAACGCTTCCCGGGATCATTAGAATTCTCGTACCGGGTGACCCCCGACCCCGAGTCAGCATCTCAGATACACCCAGAGATGACCTCTAAACCTAGGGGTGTCCTGCAGACACGGCTCCCACCGAGCCAGTGAGACTGTGTGTTTAACATGCTGCTTTCTGTCTTCCCAGGCAGCCAGGACTGCCGGCCACCTGCGGCGGCGTTTCGGAGGCGGCGGCTGGCACGGAAACCCGGCTACATGAGACGCGAAGCTGCGCCCCAGATCAGGTTCCTCTCCCCCGCTGTGGGCACCTCATTCCGGGCCCAGGGAGGGGCATGTGGTGAGGAGTCCCACCACTCTGAGTCCAGGGCTGGACGACAGTGTGGCCTTGAACCTGGAGGCCAGTGGCCAGGCCCCTTGGTTGGGAGCCTTCTTCCCAGGAGCTCGGCAGCCTCAGCTGGAACCTGCGTGGGCCACCGAGGCCTATCTCGGGCCCCAGCACGAGGGACCTCCGGGTTCTGTGGGATTCAGTTTGGAGCCGGCACCAAACCGCCCAGCAGGCTGACCAGGTTGTGCGGCCCCGGGTGTCAGGGGGAGCTCCCACCCATGGACAGTGCTGAGGCCTGTGGCCCTCGTCAGGACGCCACCTGTGGTGAAGGAGCAAGGGGCACCCAGATCGAAGACTCTCCGGCCCCAGAGGAGGTGAGTGGCAGCAGCTGCGGCCTCAGAAGTGGCCCCAGGGACCCCTCAGCCCCCGCCAGGTCTCAGGCGGCCTTCACCTCCAGCTTCAGCTTCATCCAGCTCTCACTCTGTGCCGCCGGGGAACGCGGAGAAGCCGAAGGCTGCCCGCCATTCAGAGAGGCCGAGGACGCGGAAGCCAAGGCTGCCGGCTTGGACAGGCTCCATGAAGACCCTAGACTTTTTTCTCCCCCCTTCAGTCTCAAGGCTGCTCAGGGCTCTGCAGACTCTGCCCAGATTGCAGGAGGCAGCCCCGCGCTGGCGTGTGAGCCCCTTTCTGTGCTGGACATAGGCGCTGCCTCCTGCTGCTCCCAGAGCCCCTCAACCTTCGAGAGCACCGCTCCTCACTGGGACCTGCTGCTCCGGAAGTGCGAGCCCCTGCTGCTGGAGTGTCTGCTCGGCAACCGCAGGCAGCTGGAGGTCGGTGTCTGCCCCGCCCCTGGGCTGCACTAGGCTCACAAACGCAGATTAGGCACAGGGCAGGAAATGAGTGGTTCTGGGGTTGACCGACTCCCCCCTTCCAGGGCTGCAGCAGCTCCTTGGTGGCTGGCTGCAGAAAGACATTGCTGCACTTTGGTTTCTCCTCTTTCCGTTTGAATGCAAATCTGTTCTTATTTCATCTCCTCTGTCACGTAGGTGTTCAGATTTGGGCTGCGGGCTTTCCTGCCGGTCCTGGCCTAGGTGGTGCATGGTTAGTGCAACCTAGCTCTGCTTCAAAAAGGGAAACAGGCTGGGAGCAGGGGAATGGAGCTGGCTGGTGTGAGGGTTACGAGACATACAGCCTCGATGCCTGTGTCGGGCAAACTGCCTGCCAGAGTTCGTTTCCGGTCATTAAACCTCTCGACGTCCTCATTTATAGATGACACCACTGCACAGGATTGTTCTGTGGCTTGGATGAGAATGTCAGTGCTTTGGAAATTAGGATAGACTGTGTACTTGTAAGTCCAAGCACTGTGACGTGACGGTGCTGGTGCCGTCCACCCAGCGGTCCGAGAGCCGGGGCCCACTGCCAGCAGGAGGGCAGGATGGTCAGCCCCCAGAGTTCCCGGAGAAACCCAGGCAGAGGTGCTCTGCGCTGACCCTCTGGGTTGTGTGGCTCATCCTAGTGAAAGACTGTGCTTTCCTTCCGGGGGGTGTGTTTGTGCATGTATACATCTGTGTATGTGTGTGCACGCATACATGGGTACACACGAGCCCGGGGAGTAGGGCACCCACTCCTCGGGCATTTGGTAGAAGTGCCTGAAAATGCGAGGGTCACATTCATTCCCAGCAATTGCATCTCATTCACTTTCAATTCTTTACCAGTAGCCTGATGTTCTGGCCCTTAGGGGCCTCAGCCCAGTGGTCCGATCTGTAACCCGGGGACATAGCAAAGCCAGGCCAGACGTGCAGGTCTCTGTTTCCAGGTAATGCGTGGGATCCTTGAGTTAGATTTGTCCAAAACAGACGCCGCTGTGTTCCCCATCAAACCCATTCTAAAGGGTCCACCCCCCAATACATATTTGTGGCTTTGAAGTAATAGAGTCCATCCATCCGGCTCCTCGAGGGACTGCATTCGTTTCCAACCCTCCCTGTCCGATGTCCATCTCTAAGCCCTCTTAGTCCTGCAGCGAACCCACCTCCCACGGCCACACCATGGCCCTGGCTCAGATCCTTGTTAGCTCTCACCTGGATCTTGCCAGAGAGTCTTGGCAGATTTGCCTTCCTCCGGTTCATCCTCTGCATGGCCAGCGGAGTCGTCTTCCCAGGCAGTGGTGGGATAGTGTTATTCCTCGGCTTAAAACCTTTGGCGGCTCATTGCCCTGCGGGGTGGTGTTCAAGATCCTTATCTTGGTAATGGAGACCTTCCCCACCCAGCCCGCTGCAGCCTGCCCCGCGCCTCCCCGTGGCTCCGCCATCTGGTGCGGCTTCCTGCTTCTGAAGACACCGGGGACAGCTGGGCTCAGGCCTCTGCTCACCGTTTTCCCTCTGCCTGGAATTTCCTTCCCGCGCTGGCCCACCCGCCAAGCCCCTCCTACTGTGGCTCCAGAGCCGGGTCCCAGTGGGACGTTTCCTCCTACCTCTACATCACTCCCACACGAACCCCTCCTTCCGTTTTGTTTCCAAAGCACATTGGACGCGCCCTGTCCCAGCACTCCCCACAGCCAGCAATAATTTGTTACATGTGGGTCCGAATTCCACGCTGGACCACGAGCTCCATAACTGCAGGTCACGTTGTTTAGACATTTTTGGATGCTTGTTGCCTAGCATGTTTCCTGGCCCTCAGCAGGTGTGCGATTCATTTTTGTTTTCGGTGAGGTAATTAATCTTGATAAGCTGGGCCACAGATTCTGACAGATTTTTTTTTAGATTGACTGTCTAAAGGGTAAGTACAGAAGCTGAGAGGCCGACACACAAAGACAAAGGCTCTCAGGGGGTTCCGGTCACCGGTTATAATGTGTGGGGGCGTCTCCAGCGCCAGCTGGGTGTCCTGAAATTGAATTCAATGCTGACACTGTTTCCCTGGAGGTAGCATCACGCCCCATGGGGGAGGTCCTACAAAGTGTCAACTCCCCACGTGCCAACTTGCTCTCAGATGCCAGCTGAAAGTGAAATGATGGCATTGGGACACAATGTATCTGTGGTTTAAGTATCTTAGCTGGTGATCACCTAGTACCTGGACGAGGGAGGACACGATGCCGTTTTCCGTTGTCTGATGTCTGTTGTATGAAAGAGGATCACGTGTGTGTTCGGTGCAGTGGGAGTGATGGAAGGCGCTCTGTCCCGGGCACGGAGCTTAGGAGCAAGAGGCCCCTGGCGGCTGGGGTTGTCCGTGAGGCGGGGTGGCCCGGGACGTCCCACATTGCTCTGCGGGCTGCTGGGGAGGCCTTCATGTCTGGGGAGAGGGGTTGGCTAAGGACCTTTAAAAAGATCCTTTGAAAAAAATTGAGATTCTAGTGTTTGGGGACCTTTTAGATATTATACTCTAATTCCTTAGAATATTAGAATATTACTTAACCCCCCTCCCTTCTCCTAAAGTAAAAATGCAAATCTCAGGAAATTGAATTTTTGCTTCTTTTAAAATAGCGATCCTCAGTATTCGCGGTTTCTATATTTGTGAATTCTCTCCCTCGGGAAAATTTATTGGTAACTTCAGTGCACAGAATACGCTCCCGGCCCTGTGCGGACATGCGCAGAACGAAGTGCTTGGCCTGGTCATGTGCGGACATGCGCAGAACGAAGTGCTTGGCCTGGTCATGTGCGGATATGCGCAGAACGAAGTGCTTGCCTGGTCGTGTGCGGACATGCGCAGAAAGGCTAAAAGCGTGAGTCGCTCCTTCTGCGTGTTCCCGGGGGAGGTTGCTCAAGGTGACCTTCCGCCTGCTTGTTTTCAGTTCTCATGCCATAAACAAGTGTCCTTTTTGTGGCCGGTCTAGTACCACTTTTTCTATTTTGTGCGTGTGTTTTGGTGATTTCACTGTTGAAAATGGCCCCCACGCGCAGGGCTGCAGTGCTGTCTCTGCTGCTCAGTGCAAAACGCCTGCAACAGAGAGAAAACACGTTAGAGAAGCTGCGTCCGGGGGCGAGTTGGAGCGCTGTTGGCCCTGAGTTCAGCGTTGATGAGTCAGCTATACATAGTCAAACACCTTTACACTGAAACGCACACGAAATATGGTTCCGTATCGGTTGACGAAAATGTGGCCAGAGCCCAACCCTGTAATTTTCCCGGGAGCCCTCGTTCAGTGGTCGCTAATTGAGCGTTCACCGTGCCTTTATAGAACATGACTTCCACGAATGTGTATTTTATGCTGTCGGAAAATAGCCACCCAGGGACATTGCCAGGGCTGGGGTGGGGCCGAGAAACTTTCGATAAGAAGAAACGCTACCTGGGTGCGCACAGGAGGGAAGTGGGGGGAGCCCTACCAGTTAGCCCCGCCTCGGGGCGTGGCAGCCCTACCAGTTAGCCCCGCCTTGGGGGCGTGGCCGCTGGGGGAAAAGGAGAGAAACTGCCTGCCTTCCATGGGCTGTGTCACTGGGTGAGCCATGCCCATCAGAGGCTGTGCTTCCAGCAGACATGGACATTCACACACATCCCAAGGTATCAATTCCGGGCCCTACAGGGATAGTTGGATGGGAGGGAGAAGGTGAGGTGGGCACTGGCTGTAAATGAAATTTTCTGTGCCCTCCTTCCTGGGGTTCTTCTGCTCCAGCTCCACAGGTGTTTACAGAGGCCATCATTTGGGTGTGGTGATGGTAATGCCACCTGTCCTCTGTCACTAATAGAGAGGACCAAGTCACTGGGGAAATGTGCACTTGTCACACGAAGCACTTCAAGGACGAAGGGGTTAATGTGCTCATTCCTCCTCTCGTGCATTCAGAAGGTGTTTGCTGACACCCACGGATACCGTGTGCCTGCTTCAGAGGTTGTGTTAGTTAGAATGCGTTAGTGACAGACAGCAACACAGTATCAGGGGCCCTGCGTCACGCAATCATGTTTCTTGCTTACGCTTCATGTTCCCCAGACGTGGTTGGGGGCTCTGCTCCACTGGGTCACTCAGGACCCCAGGCTGCACTCTCTGATCGTAGGGCGCCTCCGTCACTGAGTCAAGGTGGAGAACGCTGAGGGACCCTGCCAGGGCGATGAAATGCTTCGGTACAGAAGTAGCCTCTGTCCCTTCCCTGCACACTCAGTAACCAGACCAAGGAGAGGGAGGGAGAGTAATCCCCCGATGTGTCCAGAGCAGTGGAGAACCCAACTGCCGTGAGTGCCGCCATTTCCACGTGCACTCAGAACAGTTCTTGCCTTCCAGATGCTCCAGGGGGAGTGGGGGGCATGGACAAAATGAAGCAAAACACACAGATAAATCAAGATGAAACGGTAGCTTTAACAGGGCGTGATAAGTACCAAGATGATTTCTTGCAACTCCATTCCCTAGGGGCTCAGACCAAAACCCCGGCGTCATCCTGACCTTCCTCACTCCCACATGTGATCAGCTGGCAGGTCCTGTTGGTGTTATCTTCACCCAGGCGTTTTCTGCGTCTACCCAGAAACAGCTCCCTTCTCACTGTCTTCTCTGCTTCCGCTGTGGTCCACACCACCATCGTGTCCTTGCTGGGTCATTTCCATGCCTCCTGCCTCCCTCCTCTGGCCCCTGCCCACAGCAGTCGGGGGAGGGGGGTTGTTCAGACACGTCAGATTTTGTGCTCAACCTCCGCTGACAGCCCCCCATGACCCTCGGAGGAAAATCAGAAGTTTTAAATGGTCTTCATGTCTCTCTGTGATGCATTTCTCACCACCTCTCTGACCTCATGTGCCACAATCTCCCCTTGAATCACTCTTCTCGAGACCCAAGGACCTTCTTGCTCTTCATTTGCAGGGCCAGCAGCGCTCCGCCCAGAGCCGTGGTGCTGGCTTTGCTCTCTACGGGCGAGTTTTTCTCCCAGAGAGCCTCAGGGTGCCCTCCCTCTGCTCTTTTCAGTCTCTGCTCCAATGTCTCCTTCTCCAGGAGACGCTATTTAAAACCTCAGCTCCCCCATCTACCAGCATTCCCGAGCCCCTCGCTTGGGTCTACTTTTTCTTCTTTTACATCATGAATAACTTATTAGGCTCTATAAAACTTATGCATCGCCTTCATTTTTTGTCTCCCTACACAAGAAGCTACCTCTAAAGGGCTGAGAATTTCCTGCTGTATCTCAGCACCTCCAATAGTCCTTGACACCTAAGAGGTAGTTGGTCAATATTTGTTAAGCGGTCACACGAACAGGAGCAAGTGCAGGTTACAGTGGCAGTGTAAAGGAAGGGCCCTGGGCACGGGCTGGAGGGGTTACACCTGAGCTAGGTGCCGAAGGACTTGTAGGTGTATGCCGAGCCAAGGACGGGAGGAAGGTGTTTTTCAGGGAACGAGCCCAAATCCACTCACTGATAGGCCAACAATCCATCTCCAAACAAAATCCCTGGGCTTCCTGCTGGGAAGAACAATACGGTGGAACCTTGGTTGTCAAACTTAATTCATTCTGGAAAATGGTTCGAGAAGCGACTTGTCCGGAAACCGAATCTCCGTAGTTTGTCGCCTGAGAGACACGTGACTGACTGTGCAGGTGACAGCGTGAAGGGTTGTCAGGTAGAGAATCGAAACCTGAAGTTTTGTTAGACAACCGAGACTTTTTTCTAGAAAGAACTTGGTGGAGAACTGGATTGTCGGAGAACCGGATTGTCCGAGAACCAAGACATTCGGGAACTGAGGCTTGACTGTGATGGCCAATGAACTTCAGTAAAAGGAAGGGGTCGTTGTGTCTGTTGCGGGTTAAGTGAGACGGTGAGAGCCGGTGAGGCTCAGGACCTCCTGCGGGGGCTTTGGGGGGTCCCTGTGCCGGGTCCCACCCAGCCTGCGGCCCAGGCTGCAGAGCTGAGGTCCGTGCTTCTTCTCGTGGTTTCTATTCCAGTTGTGGTGCATGTACCCTCATCATTTTAATCTGATGTGTTAGAACTGAGGCTGTTTGTCAGGTCAGGAAACTTGTAGTCTTTTCTCTTATGCATGTTTCATGTAGATAAGGGTACAGTGTGATGTATTTGTTTAAAATAACATTTTAAGTCTGTGGATTTTGTGCTCAAATTACACTTCCTTTATATAACTTTTATTTTGGCGTGGGAAACTGATTCATCTGGCGTTGGAAAAAACGTACATTTGTGGTTCTTTTTTTAAAGGCGAATAAAGAAGTTCAGTTTCGAAATAGTTTCTAGATGCTCTTAGCTTTGCTAAAATAAGTTTCAGTGCTGTTGTAATTTGATTTTCATTTTTTTCTCCTCCCAAATGACATAGGTAAACTCCTTAAGATTAAAGCTTCAGAAACTCCAAGAAAAAGCTGTTGAGGAGGATGATTATGATAATGGTGAGTGTGACTGTGTTTATCGAATATTTCTTCTTTCCCTCATAACATCCCATTTCTCACCCCCTCCTTTCTCAGATCTCTCCACACCCCAGACGGACTGTGCAGTCCCGTCCCCCAGTCACCTCCACTTGGTGACACCGGACTATTCTACAGCACTATTGTTTTGTGGATTTCCAAATGTGTTATAAGCATGAATCCTTTGGGTTATAAATATAACTTCATTGATTATTTGGAAACACAAAGTACTTGAACAATAAGAGTTACATGAACTCATCATCTGCCTGCCTAAGGTATGCTCTGTCTGTAATTATTCACTCATCAGAATGTATTTGTTGAGCAACTATTATGTGCTAGGCAAAGTGGCAGGAACAGGACAGCGAGGCAGACACAGGCTCTGTCCTTAGGATGCGTCTGGGTATAAGTCCTCCCTGAGCTCATTGACATCACACTCTCCGGGACCAGAGACAGGACATGGGGTGAGGTTAAAGGTGCCAGGCTGTGCCGCAGAGGTCAAGTCCATCACACGTCCATGAAGAGGGCCCCGAGTACGGAAGCTAGAAAGGAGAAGTAGCAACAACATGAGGCCAGACATGAGGAGGGGATCAGAAGCCAGAGAAACAGTTACAATGAGGGACCAGAACAGGAGCTGGGCCAGACGCAGACACAGACACAAGGGCGTATGTGGCGGCCGAGTGGAGTGGCTGTCAGGAGTAGCGGTGCGGCTGCGCTCTGTCGGGGGAGGGGGCCTGCTGGTGTCTGTGAGGTTCCCCAGGAGAAGCTGGAGGGTGACTTTACTCTGCTTGGTTTTGTTGCATTTCGCTCGCTCCCCTTTTTTCTCTCTCTCCCCTTTTTTGTGAGTGTGTTTCACTCACAAAAATGGCTTGTGTTCTAGGGAAAGGAGCAATTGGCATGGAGTAGAAAGTCCCATGTTTTATCCTATCAAAGTGCTGGTGTATTTACCTGCGGGGAACATTTCAGGGCTCTAATTACACCTGCCCCTCGGTAGGAAAGTAAAGTTAATATTTCCTCATATTCTTGCGTCGTTGGTTTTACCCTGCTTGCTTGGAGTTTCCTTCCTGGGGTGAAAAGTGGCCCGCACTGAATTAGTTCCTCTATCCTTTGTCTCAAACAATATCCATGATGACAAAAACCTAGTACCATAACAATGTGAGATGTTGAAAGAAAAATGGTCACAGCAGAGGCCAATGTTAAACCACTCCCAAGAGAGAGACCAGCTCTTGTCCAAATTGCCGGAATCTTTGTTTTTCTGAATTCTTTCCTCAGCAAGATGTCTCTTTCCTCAGCTGTCCTCTGGTGATAGTGTGCAGTTATCCGAGGCGATGCTCCTTTCTTTCACGGGGACCCCACGTGCGCCCTCCTTCAGGGCTTCCTAGATGTGATGCTTTGCACCAGAACCCCTGCTTCCTCTTCTCAGAACCAGAGATGCGAGTGAGCAGTGGGGATCCACAGACACCTTTCATTGCATTTCATTCGAGCATAGAAAGAAAAAAAAGGTGCCCAGGCTGGCGTAGCTCAGTGGATTGAGCGCGGGCTGCAAACCAAGCATTGCAGGTTCGATTCCCAGTTAGGGAACATACCTGGGTTGCAGGCCATGACCCCCAGCAACCGCACATTGATGTTTCTCTCTCTCTCTCTTTCTCCCTCCCTTCCCTCTCTAAAAAAAAAAAATAAAATCTTAAAAAAAAACAAACAAAAAAAAAGAAAGGAAAAAAAGGTGTTATAGTATTGGTTGTTTTTATGTCCTCAGGACTCCCACATGAAATGGAGGTGCATGCCATTTGGGGGTCCAGGGAACAGGAATGCTCCTGTTGGCAGCCTGTACTGTGTTCTCTCTGACTTAAAATGTGTCCAAGATGACCTACCCTCAAGGACTATTAGCTTATTTAGGATTAAACATAAATAATATAAAGATGTGAAATCTCAGTTAACATTAGAATTGATTTTTTTTTTTTTTTTTTGGTATGAGGACTCTGTACTTTCAAGAGAGAGGGCCCTAACTGGAATGTGTCCCAGAAGAAAAGAAGACTTGCTGTTGGGTGTGTCATGATGCGGCATGTGGTCAGGGGACGGAGGCTGCCGGGAGCTCATTTTCCTCTCTGTCGTCTGACACGTTCCCTCTGACCACACTCCTCACGTGCCTGTTGCTGCCTGGGGCGGGCTGAAAATGCCCAAGTATATCCAGGTCCTAATCCCTGGAATGTGCAGACGAAACCTAATTTGGAAAAGGATCTTTGTAGATGGGATTAAGTTAAGGATTTTGAGGCGAGATTATCCTGGACTGTCTGGGTGAGCCCTAAATCCCATCCAAGGGTCCCTTGGGAAGAGACCGTGGGAGACTAGATAAACAGAACAGGAGGAGCAGCTGTGACCACAGAGGCAGCCATCGAGCCATGCGGCCACAAGCCAAGGAATGCCGATGGCCACCGGCAGTTGGAAGACACAGGGGACAGACCCTCCCTGAGAGCCTCTGGAGGGAGGACAGCGCGGCCAACACCTTCGTCTCAGCCCAGCAAGGCTGAGTTCAGGCTTCTGGCCCCCAGAACGGTGAGGGAATAAATGTCGGCCGTTTTCAGCCACAGAGTCCGTGGTCACTTGTCACAGCAGCCACGGGCAACGAATGCGTTGCGTAACAAAGCACCACAAAACTTAGTACTTACAACAGTGTCCGAGCGACACCAGGAAAACGGCAGAGAGAGCAGCCCCAAGCATGTGTGCCCCAGCAGCAACACGGAAAGGTAAAACCAGCAGAAATGGTCAGAACCAACATTTTCAGAGCCCGGGAAAACAGCTCCAGGTTTGTAGCAACCAAGCAAACCTGGAACCAGGAAAAAGGCAACTAGAAAATGGTAGGAGAGCTTTGTGGCATTTTTACTTGCCTTTGTCCCACTTTCTCTGTAGGACAGCAGTGAATATTGTTTACAATTTAATTTTCAGTTACAGTTGACGTACCATATTATATTAGTTTCAGGTGTGTAAAATGGTTGTTAGACACGTATATTTCTTATGAGAGATCACCCCATCAATCTAGTAGCCGTCTGGCACATTCATAGTTACTACAATATTATTGGCTACATTTTCTGTGAGGACAGCAGTGATCTTAAAGATGACAGCTGCATTCTCAGTGTGGGACTTTGGTTCCTGATTCTGGGGAGGGTAGAGCAGACCTCACTTGCAAATGATTGTGTCCGTCCTCATCTGTCAGCGGTCTACGACTGACATCACATCAAGCACTTGTCCCAGTTTTGGCTAACTCAGAACACAGGCTGGAAGAGAGGCAGGCGTGGCTGAGAGCTACGCAGGCAAGGTGTGCTGCCAAACTGCAACACTAGGGGGCAAAGAAGGGTCACTGGTCAGGAGATACAGTAGACTGCCTACAGCCTGGAGCAAAACTGGGGGATTCTTTGGGAAACGAGCACGTTCAAAACCACCCATGTGTGTAGGGAAATCCAGAAAACCACTCGCATGCCGAAAGCAAGACGCATGCTCAGAAAAGAGCAGAGACGACCCTTCGTTTTCACCCCCTGCTGGTCCGTGGCTGCACGGCTGGCCTGGCTGCGTGTTGAAGGCGCTGCCCCGGCACAGAGCTCGTCTGCAAAGACCAGGAGAGGTGTCTGTTTGCCTGTTTGTTTTGGCGTCTCTGTCTGTGTCTCCCACCTCCCTCCCTTTTTTTTTTGCTTTTTTTGTTTTATATATTTTTTATTCTGGAAATTCAAGGAAACACTCAGAGGTGAATGAAAAAGAAAACACATCTCAGAACATATAGCATGCAGCAGAGGCAGTACTCAGAGGGAGATTCGTAGCTCTAAGTATGTACATTAAGAAGGATCTCAAGTCAGTAATCTCACTTCACATATTAAGGAGCCGGAAAAAAGAACAAACTAGGTCCAGTGCTAGCAGAAAGAAGGGAGTAATGACTAGAGCAGAGATAAATAAAATAGAGAATGGAAAACCAATAGATTCAATAAAAACAAAGTTTAGTTCCTTGAAAATACCAACAAAATTTACAAAAAAGAGAGAAGATGGAGATTACAAATAAAAAATGAAAGTGAGGACCTTACTACCAAAAGAATGAACAAGATTATATAAGAGAATATTGTGAACAGTTTTATGTCAACAAATTAGGTAACTGAGATGAAGTGGACAAATTCTAGAGAAACACAAATTACTGAAACGGACTCAACAAGTAAAGAGATAGAATTAGTAATCAAAACCTCCCAATCTAGAAAAGTCCAGGACCAGATGGCTTCACTGGTGAATACTATCAAGCATTTAAGAGGAATTGAACATGATTTTTTCCCCAGACTCTTACAAAAAATAGAAAAGGAGTGAATACTTCCTAACTCACTCTGTGAGGCTAGCAGTGTCCTGACACCAAAGCCAGGTGAGGACATCTCAGGAAGGAAAAGTATACACCCACATCCCTTAAAAATAAAGATACAAAAACATTCAACAAAACACTAGTAAACTTAATTCAACAGCACATTAAAAGGCTTGTGCACCACGGGCAAATGGTGTTTATGACCACATGGGATTTATTCTGAAGTGAAGGTGCTTCAATGTAAAATAAATCAAAGTCATGTTTCATATTAATAGAATGAAGGGGGAAAAAACAGACAATCATCTCACTTGATGGAGAAAAGGCATTTGACAAAATTCCAACACCTTTTCTTAATAAAAAATACTGCAAAAACCTTTTCAACCTGATAAAGGATATTTATGCAAAATCTACAGCTAACGTCATCCTTTCTTCCTAAGATTATAAATGAGATCAGGATGTCTGCTTTCACCATTGCTGTTCAACATTGTCCTGGAAGCTCCGGCCAGACCAAGTCGCCAAAAAAAAAATTAACTCTCTATTTGCAGATAACATGATCTCACATATAGAAATCCCAAAGAACCCATGAGAAATTATGAGAGCTAATAAACAAATTCTCTAGTGGTTCAGGGTATAAGATCAACACACAAAAATCAGTGGTCGT